GGGGCGATATGCTGACTCTGTAAACCGCTTAGAGAGGGCTGAAAGCCCTATGAAGCGGTATATAAGTCTAACTGCTATTGCTATTGCTATAGTAATTCTCTCTGTGACAAATGGACAGGGCAAACATTTGATGCAAACTTTATAAATCTGACACTTAATAGCCGAAACTATAGTCAAATATATTTGAAAATGGATCTTTATTTCTGTTCATGTTTTCATAGATTAAAATCACCCCTAGATTGGAAAAAAATGTACTAATGCTAATGAAACAGCATAGTAAAATAATAGAGAGTGTGACAGGCCAAAGATCCTAAAAGGAATATGACTGCAGGCCTGATAGCTTAATTATTTTGAAAGTAGTTCAGTGCTCTCAGTAGAAGTTATGAAATAGTTGGAAGTTGGGCAAGAGCTGGGCAATATTGTGATTTAGTGTTAATTTTCAGTAAGGCTTGAAAAAAGGTATATCTGGTAAATTGTGTGTCCACTTGCTTTTAAAATACACATAAACAGGCACTGTTGCTCACCAGATGCAGCTCAGTAGAATATGATCTAAAATAAATTAAATTATTATTTATTCATATGCAAGGATCATAGTAATGAGTAAAGTAGTATTCCTGGTTGCAGAATTAAGCATAATTGATAGAATAAGGACAACATAATAATAAATATTATAGCAATTGTGCCACTCTCTGTTCAATTCATCTCACAAAACCCTCAGCCATCTCTTTCTTCCTTAAGCTTGCTAAGAAAACTGAACAACATGAAGGGAGATGTAGGTTCTCAAGTACAAATTCCAGTGTCCTTTTTGATTTAATGTGCCTAAGCCCCACATTGAGTTAATGTCTTATTTGACTGGGAGGAGAGCACAATCTTTGTGAATGGAATCCAATTTCATATATTGGCAGCAAATCTTCAGTAACCTCTGGAGGGCAGCAAAGATATTCAGACAACTCTCACTTCGAGGTCATCTAAGTGTTTGCATCTTGGGCTAGGGTAATTTTGTTTGATAGTTGGTATTTTTAAATAATTGTTGCAATGTTGTCCTTTACAGTTGTTCGGGGTTATTCCCCCCCTTTTATTTAACAAAATAGAAAAAATAACTAGGGAAGAGGAAAAAAAGCAATTCAACAATAGCAAAAAATGTAGAGCTTCTCGTAGGTATGAAATTTTGTGGAAAGTTTTTTAAAAAATATAGGTAGTCCTTGACTTACGACCACAAATGGGTTCAAAATTTCCATTGCTAAGCAAGGCAGTTAAGTGAGTTTTGCCCCATTTTGTGACTTTTTACCACTGTTAAGTGAATCATGGGTTGTTAAACGAATTTAGGTTCTCCCATTGACTTTGCTTGTTGGGAACCATCTGGGAAGGTTACAAATGGTGATCATATGACTCCAGAACAGTGTAATTGTTCAGAAATACATGTCAGTTACCAGCCCAAATTTTGGTCATGTGACCTTGCTGCAACCACTGTGTGAAAACTGGTCATAAGTCACTTTTTTTCACTGCTGTTGTAACTTCAAAGGTCACTAAATGAATCGCTAAGCCGAGGACCAACTCTAATCATATTTCATGGTAGCCATCCAGACGTACCTTAGAGTGGTACGATGGCCTAGAGGTGGACCTCTCTCCTCACAATCAGGAGGCTGTGAATTCGATCCCAGGTAGAGACAGGTATTTCTCTCTCTGAGCACAATGAGAATGTATCTGCTGAATAGAACTCTGCATTGGCAAAGTAAACACTCAGTTCCATTCAGTTGCCCACAAGGGATTATAGGGTTATTAAAAGAAAATGATCCAGTCATACCTTACATCTATAAGCAGCATATTCTTAAGTTCCAAGTCACTGCAGGTGTTCAGTAGACTGAATAAATGGGTGGGTGGTGTTAAGCCACCCTGACTCTAAAATGTACAGTATGAGAAATAGTTTGATTGCAAATAATGTTCGTTATATAGTTGGCTCAATGCTTATTGAATAAATCTGCTAAGACTTCAATGTGTTTTGCTCCGCAATTTATCTGGAATATTGTGCAGTGGTTTTATCTAGGACTTAGGACAAATACTAAGCAGTATACTTTGGGTGTATGTGTCTAAGCATAGGTGCATTCAAGCACATGAAGAGTGTTATCACTATGCTATACAGACGGTGACAAGAAAACTATCAATTCCTCCAAGAATAGAATAGGAAACTATTAACAGCAATCAGCAAAATTTGCAATGATGTGCAAACTACTGGAAAACTTGAAGTGATGACATTTTGTTACCCGTACAATATTTTAAATTAAAAAATGGAATTGAACCTTTTATAATGGCTTTACCTATGTTGAACCAAAAGGAATAAAAAAGAAGTTAAACTATTGGTTTATTTGTTCCAGTCAGGAGAACCAATTTGTCCTTTTGGGGGACTTGAGAAATTGCATTTGAGAGAAATAAAAAGCTACCTTTTCCCATTTCCTTTGTCTTTGTAAAAATCTGCTTCTTGCATTTGTGTGTTTATCATGAATGTTTGTAAAATGAATAGAATGAGAAATACATACTGTACATCTATGGGGAAGAGTTAAATGTTTTTCATAAGGCTTGTTAGAGACATGTAGACGAGTTTGAATAGTAGAACTATTTAAGCAGCCTCAAAGATGACATTCTAATATTTATTTTTCCCTTCAATCATGTCCAGTTTTTCGGCACTGCCTGGACAAGTCCCTGCAGTTTTCTTGGCAAGGTTCTTTGGAAGAACCTTCCTCCTATGGCTGAGAGAAAGTCACAACTGGATGACCTTGGGCCAGTCCCATTTTCTCAGCCCTAGGGAGGAGACAATGGCAAACCATTTCTGGAAAAACATGCCAAGAAAACAGCAGAGGCTTGTCCAAGCAGTCTCCAAAAATTGGATATGATTGAACAGAAAAAAGTAGTCTCAAAGATGATGTTTTAATAACTTAAAAGCTATGGTGAAATTCAATTTTTTTACTACCAGTTCTGTGGGCATGGCTTGGTGGGTGTGGCAGGGGAAGGATACTGTAAAATCC